ACACACACACACACACACACACACACACACACACACACACACACACACACGATGCCCAAGGAGGAAATAATTGGCCTTAAACACATTTGTAGCCATTAATTTTTAAAAGTAATTTATTTCTTGGGGCACCTGGGTGGCTCAGTCGTTGGGCGTCTGCCTTTGACTCAGGTCACAGTCCCAGGGTACTGGGATCGAGCCCCGCATCGGGCTCCATCCCAGGGTCCTGGCATCGGGCTCCCTGCTCAGCGGGAGGCCAGCTTCTCCCTCCTCCACTCCCCCTGCTGTGTTCCCTCTCTTGCTGTGTCTCTCTGTGTCAAATAAATAAATAAAATCTTTAAAAAAAAAGCAATTTATCCAAAAACTAATGATGTAATATATGGTGATTAACATAACAATAAAAAATTTAAAAAAAAAAGCAATTTATTTCTTTAGGGCCAGCAGAGTAAAACAGTAGTTCTAGAAATCTCAAAGTGAGATACTGATTTGGTGAATATGTTGCCTGAACCAAAAAAAAATCAGGACACATGGTCTGACTATTCAAATAGGAGAAATGGAAATAACTATTTGAAGATAGAACTGTCCAAAAAGGAAAATTTACCTCTATTATTGGTCTAAAAGAGGCTAGGAGAACTAAAAGCCTTAAAATGCCATCTACAGATAAAATGTAATTATTCTCCCTGGCAAGAAGAAATGTTTAGTCATAGCAACAGAAATAGCTAGAAAGGAAAACTACAATTGGGCATCATTATGGGACTTCTTCTCAGCCCCATTAGTAAACAGACCACTTAGACTAGGGAATAAAGAGTTACCAGCCAGGATATTAACTGTAAGAGCTTATCCAGAAATAATATGATGTCTGGTATTTGCTTCAAAATAATACAGGAGAAAAGGGAGTGTGTGAATTTGAAGCCAGAGTGGCCTTGGGTTGATAACTGTTGCATGTAGGTGATGGGTATGTGGGGATTCATTATACTAGGATCTCCATGTTAGATATTTAAATTTTTCCATAATAAAAAGTAAAAAAGCAAAACAAAGAAAGACATTCTAGGCATGACTGAGTCTTTGTTTTTTGAGGTCACCTGGCTATTTTTAAGGTCTTTTAAAAAAATGTATTCGGGACTAGTACATATGGGTGTGGATTGTTGCCAAGCACAAGCAGAAGGGGAGAGAAAAATAGGGACTGATTAAAACATTTATTTCACCCTTGAAGAGGAGCCCTGATCATCTACTCTGTAAATGTGTGGCTGAGGACAGCTCCCAAAACGGGTTGGAAAAATAAAATAAAATATATCTGAGTTTTAAAAATAAAGGATATCCAAGTAGCTTGGACATGAGGATGTTTTCCTGCCTTTTAAGGTAATATGGGAGAGTTGTTTTGGCTTTTTCATGACATCCTGTGGAGGCCTGCTGAAACACTTCAGGAGATAACAGATTGTTCGCTTTCACAAATATGCCAGGAGAAAAGAAAGCCTTTACTTAAATGTTCCAGGCCTTTCAGGGGATATGCTGACTCCCTCCGTACATTGATAGCATGTATGAATTTGTTTTGTGAGAGAGCATCTTGCCCTATTTTTACATGTTGGAATACTTGGCCAAATTTTCTCTAAAAATTACCTGCATCGGGGTTAACTTTTCTAATTTTGCAGATTTGGTCATCCAATTCAACAATGTAAATGGTTTGACAGCCTTTGTTATTGTGTCCTGAAAAAGGCAATGAATAATGAGCTCCCAGGGTGTCACTGAAGGTTATTCGCACTTGCTAATGATTAACCACCCATGGCTCCTGGCCCGCAGAGCCAGACTTAAAGGCCCCAAATACAACTTCAAACTCCTATTTTAGATCCCTGCTTATTTTTATATAGGATCTTCAAAAATCCCCTCTAACTCAAACCAGAACGAAACCTCAGTGTCCAATAAATGGGGATTGGTACATAAATTAGATCCCCAGTTGCAATGGACTATTATTTGGTCATTAAAAATGATCATGGCAGACATACCTTACAAGAAATGTTAAAAGAAGTTCTTAAGAGAAAAGGAAAATAATACAGGTCAGAAACTCAGACCTACATAAAGGAAGAGCACAGAAGGAGTAAGTGAAGGTAAAATAAAAGTATGTAGGCCCCCTGCACCCACCTATGATGGGATACTTGCCTCTCTCTCTTCTCAGGCTTGTACTAAAAAATTACAAGATGAAAAAAAGTAAAAGCCCCTTTATTATGAATCTTATTCCCTTCTTTTTCTTCCTTCAAAAGTAGCCATTGTGAATATTTCCTTGAGTTAATATTTGAGTTTCATTCCAAAAAATATAGGCATAAAATATTTTACACAAAAGGGATAATTGTTCTGTACCTTGCTTTAAAAAACCTTATCACTATATATTATTAATCTTTAATATATTATTAACCTTATCAATATATATTATTAATCAGTCTAATTTACTATTTTTGTTGTAATGACTGCTACATAAGGTTTCCATGGTTTGTTTTTTTTTTAAGATTTTATTTATTTATTTGACACAGAGAGACACAGCGAGAGAGGGAACACAAGCAGGGGGAGTGGGAGAGGGAGAAGCAGGCTTCCCGCTGAGCAGGGAGCCGGATGTGGGGCTTGATCCCAGAACCCTGGGATCGTGACCTGAGCCGAAGGCAGACGCTCAACGACTGAGCCACCCAGGTGCCCTTCCATGGTTTTTTTATTCGGATTCCTTTTTTTTTTTTTTTTTTGGTGAACTGCCTATCTACAGACGTTGCCCAATTTTTTTTTTTTTAATTTATGCTCTTTTCTCTTGTCAATCTGTCTTTTGTTACTTTTTTTTTTTTAAAGATTTTATTTATTTGACAGAGAGAGACACAGCGAGAGAGGGAACACAAGCAGGGGCAGTGGGAGAGGGAGAAGCAGGCTTCCCGCCAAGCAGGGAGCCCAATGCGGGGCTCGATCCCAGCACCCCGGGACCATGACCTGAGCCGAAGGCAGACGCCTAACGACTGAGCCACCCAGGCGCCCCGTTGCCCAACTTTTTAAACAGAGTTCTTCTTTCCTATGGTCTGTAGGAGTTCTTCATAAATTAGATAAATTGGTCTTATGCCTGACATAGGCTGCAAGTATCTTTTTCCCATTTTCTTTGCTTTTGGAAAATTTAAAGTGTTTTCCCTCAAACTTAAGTTCTTTGAAAACACAAAATGTTTATAAATGTTTATATCTTTTATTGTCTCTTGATTGTATGTCCTGATTGGAGAGGCCTCCCTCACTCCCAAGATCATATTTATGTTTTCTTCCAGAACAGGTTGTGTCAACCTTAGCACTCCAGGCTCCGTGAGCAGGGTAACTTTCGCTGCGGTCTGGCCGGGCATGGTAGAACGCTTAGTGGCATCCCTGGCCTCTATCCACTAGATGCCAGTAGCATCCCCCTCCTCTCCAGTTAAGCTCACCAAAAATGTTTCCAGAGATTGTCAAATGTCTCCTGGGAGGAAAAATCGCCACACACACTGTGCTTGGAGAATCACTGTTCTAGAACATGCGTAGGTGCCTTTTTAATTACCTTAACATTTTAATCTTTATTTTATTTATTTATTATTATTTTATTTTATTTATTTATTTTTAAAGATTTTATTTATTTATTTGACAGAGAGAGACACAGCAAGAGAGGGAACATAAGCAAGGGGAGCGAGAGAGGGAGAAGCAGGCTTCCCACCGAACAGGGAGCCCGATGCGGGGCTCGATCCCAGGACGCTGGGATCGTGACCTGAGCCGAAGGCAGACGCTTAACGACTGAGCCACCCAGGCGCCCTATTTATTATTATTTTAAAGATTTTGTTTTTACGTAATCGCCACAGCCAACATGGGGTTCGAACCCACAGCCCCGAGATCAAGAGTCACATGCTCTATTGACTGAGCCAGTCAGGCGCCCCAACATTTTAATCTTTGATTCAGGTGAATTTTATTTTTGTTAAAGAAGTGAGATTGAGATCCGGCTTCATTTTTAACTAAGAGTAGTCAATTGTCCCGATTGAGCTTATCCCTGATCTGAAAAGACACCTTTGCCAAAAGTCTAAGTCTCCATATATATTCTAATGTGTCTCATTGTTCTTTGTTTTCTCTTCCTTTTTTCTCAGTACAAAACTTTTACATTTTAATTATTATCAACTTCTAAATATAGTTTAGGGGTCCCTGGCTGGCTCAGTCAGTGGGACACCCTTGGTGTCGGGGTGGTAAGTACAAGCCCCACACTGGGTGAAGAGGTTACTTAAAAATAAAACCTTTAAAAAAATAATATACTCTGATACTTGGAGGGGCTTCCCCTGCTGTCTTTCATCCCCTACTTTTTTAGAATTTCCCTGCCTATTGTGAGCTCTTTAATTTTGATGATCTGTGGCAATTTTTAAAAATCCTGTTGGTATTTTAATGGAAATTGCTTTAAATTTAAAGATTGATTTGGGGAAAATAAACATCTTTATGCTTTCACTATTGAATCTTGCTAGAAAGAATAAATTACATTTTTTATTTTACTTAAGTCTTCCTTTATGTCCCTCAGTAGGGTTTTAAAGTTTCCTTCATAAAACTTGCACATATTTCTTGTTAAATTTATTCCTAGATATTTCATCATTTTATTGCGATTATAAATGGGTCCTCCACAGCGTTGGGAAGAGGTAATGGTGATAAATGGAAACACGTGAATGAATTAACCCTTTGACGGAAGGAGGAGAAAGGGAGTAAGTTAAAAACGGGGATGATATTCTGAAAGTCTTATTCTTACTGCATAAATATGGTACTTATTCCAAATGACACATATTTTTTAAAAACAGACACGTCGCCTCCCTGCATTCATTATTGGTTCACCTAACCTTGTTCCCTCAATGTTAATTCACTCTTTTTATTTCTTTGTCAGATGAGCAAAAGCAGACTGTTTCTTACTTACCCTTCTAAAAAAAGAAGAAAGAACAGGAAAACAACCAATAAATAGAATATTTGACACAAGTCATGAATAGGAAAAAGAATTAAAAATTGCCAATAAATACATTAAAATGTGCTCACCTTCTCAAACAAAGAAATGTGAACCTTACAAAAATTAGGTGCTGTTTATTGGCCCAGGTGATTGACAAATATGAAACTGATTGTGAATATGCGGTATTAGTGAGGGCGTAGAGCAAGAGGGTTTCTCACATACTTTTGGTGGGATTTTATTTTTTATTTTTTTATTTTTTAAAGATTTTATTTATTTATTTGAGAGAGAGAGAATGAGAGATAGCACGAGAGGGAAGAGGGTCAGAGGGAGAAGCAGACTCCCTGCTGAGCAGGGAGCCCGATGCGGGACTCGATCCCGGGACTCCAGGATCATGACCTGAGCCGAAGGCAGTCACTTAACCAACTGAGCCACCCAGGCGCCCCTGGTGGGATTTTAAATAGGTAAGATGATTTAGAGGGCCATTTGGCAATATCTATGAAAATTCTGAACACACATACCTTTAACCCAGCCATTCCACTTCCCAGGGACCCTACAAATGTACTCAAGCCCCCCAAAATCTGCATAGAAGCTGACATTCTGCTGAGACACACTAGTTTACAATCAGGAGGAGCTCCTTCGATTTGGATGGTGACCCCAATGTTCTCTCAATTGTTAAGTATTTCAGATATAATTGGACTATTTTTTTGTGCTTAGTTACAAACTAGAAACTACTTAAATACTCATCACTAAGCAAATTGTTACATAAGTGAAAAAAGCAAATTGCAGAATATCATTATCAGTGAAAAAAGCAAATTGCAGAATATCCTGTCAGAGTGACAGGATAAATTATTCAACCTCCCTAGACTCTGAAAACTTCATTTGTCAGATGCAGTAATAAGGAATACTTCTTAGGGTTGTTTTCAGGAATAAATAAGACTAAATAAGTGAAGTGTTGGACACTGCCTGGAATGTTATATTCAACAAATGATTGTATTCTTTTTATTAATGATTCTTATGCTCTCATCTTTTTTTTTTTTTTCAAGTAAGCACTATACCACCTATACGCCTAGGTGGCTCAGTCCTTAAGTGCCTGCCTTTGGCTCAGGTCATGATCCTGCCAGGGTCCTGGGATTGAGCCCCACATCGGGCTCTGCTCAGCAGGGAGCCTGCTTCTCCCTCTCCCACTCCCCCTGCTTGTGTTTCCTCTCTCGCTGTGTCTCTCTCTGTCAAATAAATAAATAAAAATCTTAAAAAAAAAAAAAGTAAGCTCTATACCCCACGTGGGGCTTGAACTCACGACCCTAAGATCAGGAGTCACATGGTCTACCTACTGAGCCAGCCAGGCGCATCCCCTTACAGTCTCATTTTCATGCATTATTTTGTTTAATAAATATTTATTGAGTATCTATGATGTGTGAGGCATTCTGCTAAGTGCATGAAGATTTAATAATGATCATACATTTTATTTAGGAGGGGAGTCAAAGGAAAACAAGTTAACAGTCAAATAAGCAAAATAATTAAAAATTGTGGCTATGGAAGAAATAAAGGGTTGAGCTAGACCGGTGGTTCTCAACCAGAGGTAACCCCTGCCTCCCGCCCCCTCCCCCCACACACACACCATTTCTATCCCCTCTGGAGGACATCTGGCAATGTCTAGAGATGTTTTTATTTGTCACAACTTGGTAGAGAGGGTAATACTGGCAAGTATCGGTTCCCAGCCATGGATGCTGATAAACATTGCACAGGACAGCCCCTGCAACAAAGAATTAGCCAGCCCCAAATGTGAATAGGGCTGTAGCTGAGAAACCCTGAGCTAGATGGTGGGGGGGGGGAGTACATGAATTTAGGTCAGGAGGTCACAGAGACTTCTCTGGAGTGACATTTAGGCCAAATTTTGACTAATGAAAAAGAGCCAGACTTGCAGCAAGTGGTGTGGGTCCATCCTGGGCACAGCGGACTTGAAAACAACAATAACAATGAAAAATCCCTTACATTAGTGTGTAGTATACATATGCCCCTACGGAGAGCAAAGGGGGCAAATTAAGAGCTCTTTCATGTTTCACTGTGTATGGCTGTCTTGTTGAATTTTGGAGAATAGTTTTTTTTCTTCTTTTTAAATTTAAAATGGGGAAGGGGGAATACAAAAAGCAGGCAGATTGGAAGACAGCCTCTTGTAAAACTACAGCGGGAGATCTTAGAGTATGCCCCACCTGTTCAGGAGGCCCTGGTGTATCATCTGTGGTTAGTCTCTGCTCTTAACCACCTTCTAAATCCAATGGACCTTCCCCCAAAGAATGACAGAGATCACCTGATTTAAAGCCAAATATCTATGTCCAATACTTGGTTTTATACCTTTTTGTTTCATTATATTTGATGTGTTATTTATCTTGATTTTAAGGGGGAAAAATAGCCCACCTTACAGTTTGTGTATTTAAATAAGTGTTTCATAAACTGGAAAACACAATATAGATACACACTGTTGCGAATAAAAGGGGAGAGGCTGTGCTCAACTAATAAATCTTTTTGCTCTGTTCCATTGATTCCAAACCCCCTCTAGGTAAAAAGCAATGAGGACTGGACTAGAGAGGGCAAAAGCCTGGGAAAGGAAGTGCAGGCCAGGAGGAAAGTGATTACAAACAAAAGTAGTAGCCCCAGTTACATTATTCATGCAACTAAGCAGAGGAGAGTAATCCGGGTGGATAAAATCACCACAAGATGGTTGTTGTAGCCCAAGCCCTTGGAAAGACAATGGCCAGCTTCTCCTCAAGCAGCTGAAGACCCTCTGACCTGAGATGTGAAAAGATGATTATGGAATCCTCCCGCACTGTTTGGAGCCCGGCAGTCTGCATATTTTATAAAAGTATCTGTTCCCCAGAGACTGGAAGCCAAAGGGATCCAGCAACTGTGTGTCATCATTCTTGCTGGAGGGAAATCATGCTTAATCAGTGGTGGTCCAGGAGATGAATGAAATAAATACACTCTCTGATCACCTGACAGACCTGGCATATATATAAAAAATAACTGCACCGGGGTGCCTGGGTGGCTCAGTCGTTAGGTCATGATCCCAGTGTCCTGGTATCTAGTCCCACGTCGGGCTCCCTGCTCAGCGGGAAGCCTGCTTCTCCCTCTCCCGCTCCCCCTGCTTGTGTTCCCTCTCTCGCTGGGTCTCTCTCTGTCAAATAAATAAAATCTTAAAAAAAAATAACTGCACCTATCGACACACTTTCCTGGCTTATTTGCCTTTCTTTTTTTCAAGACTTTATTTCTATATTTGACAGAGAGAGAGCACAAGCAGGGGGAGTGAGAGAGGGAAAGGTAAGCTTCCCGCGGAGCAGGGAGCGGGATGCGGGGCTCGATCCCAGGACCGCGGGATCATGACCTGAGCCTAAGGCAGACGCTTAACGACCGAACCACCCAGGCGCCCCTGCTTTTCTATGTTTCTTGTTGACTTTTTGCCTGGGAAGGGTTTGCAGGCTTTGAAAAGTAACTTAACTTACACAACTCTGTGTCTTTTCTTGGCCTTGAGGCAGCTTCAAAAGATGACACCAAATGGAACTATGTGTGCCTAGAGGGAAAAAATAAATAATGGTGAAAAATGTTTATCAGCAGCCTTCTCCAGCACCAAGCACTTTCTCACTTTTACTCACGTAATTTCCCAATTTAACATTCATATGAATTCAGCAAATAATATGTAGCAAAAGTGAATCCATAGCATTTCTTTTAGCACTGGAAGGAAACCCAAAAGTCATTAAATCAGTTTAATAGAGAAGCCCAGCCTAGGACATTAAGGGACTGACAGAGCCAGAAATGAAACTTGTTTTTCCACCTTGAAAAAAGCAAATAAAAAATATCCTAAGCAATTGCTGGTTTTTCGAGCCCACTCTCTCGGGTTGTTTTTCTTCCCTGTTATGCAGACTCCAGGCACTTTCTTCCCAGAGTGCAACACAATCCAAAGCTCCAAACAAGTTTGGGACCAGCCTTGGGTAAGGGTAGGGGTAGGGGTGGGGGTGGGAGAGCCATCCCACAGAGTGGTGCCGGTGTTCCTCTTTGGTGCATCTCGCCAGATTTAATGCAGCTTTGATATGATTCGCTCGAGCAAAAGGTGAGCACTCGCCGGATCAAGCGGACCCTCCAGCAAGAGAGTTTAAAGTTCGACTGTTTTCCTCCTCGCAATTTGAAAGAGACTTCTAATTCTCCCCGCCCCTCCCCCTCCCCCTGTAAAGTTTGTTTTCTAGCTATAAAGTCGCTTCAACTCTCGGTTTCCATCCCGGTTGCCTGAGAATCGCAGGAATTGGCCAAGTTCACTTACACGAAGAAAAAGATACCTTTGTGTACCTAATGAGAGCCACCGCGTGGCCAAGGATAACCACGCAGAAGGAAACATTTTTGTCTCGGGCTTCTGTAAACGGGCAGGGGGAGGGTTAAGCCGACCCGAAGGCGTGTTTTGTGGAGTGGCTTCGAAAGCGGCCGAGGCAGCCGAAGCAGCTTTCGAAGTTAGCAAACAAAGCGTCTCCCCAGTAACCGCCCGGTTCCAGACGAGGCTCCTGCCACTCAGACCGCGGAGTCGCAGCGTCGGCCGGCCTCCGGCTCCTCCTCCCTGCGTCTCTCTTCCCTCCTCCCAGTTCCCCAACGGATACGAGCCACCAATCCCCGCAACAAACAACCCTTCAAATGCAAGAGTGCCGCGGCCCTCTAACGGGCGGCCCCCCACCCCCACCCCGCCCCACATCTGTCCTGCACTCGGGCGCAGCAGCTGATTCATCTCCAGCCAGGCCCAGGGAAGGAACTGCGCTCCAGCAAGTTGCAGGGTAGCTTCCAGGCTGGTGGTTTCCCCTAGGACCATGTTTCCCCCCCTTTGCCGTTTTAGATGTGTGTTCTTTTAGGTGCCGAGCCGTCGGCAAACCACAGAAGAAAAAAATTGTAAGGCTGCTGCCTTATTAGTATGACGCTTTTTTCCTTGTTTATTCATTTTAAGTTCTGTAATTGGTAAAACCACCCAAGCTTTGTAAACTCTGGCCTTAATTCACTCGCGAGGCTGGGGTGTCTTTTTTTGGGAGGGCGAGTGGGTGGGAGGCTGGCTTTAATTTTCAGTGTAATCCTAAAACAGAGGCTCCAAAGTCTAGTTAGTCATCGTTTGGCTGCCTTAGTCCTCTTCGGGTTTAACCTTATTTCCACGGAGCTTTTCCTGCCGGCTTCTCCATCGAAGTTACAAAACAAAAACAGCACAGAGCCGAAACCGGAGGCAGACTCGGGCGCTGACGTCTCTACTAGGCTTATTTACGGTTTGGCTTTTTTTTTTTTTTTTTTTTTTTAAGTGATGGGGAAAGTCTTACAGCGGCATGCGACAGTTCGTTTACTTCAAAACAACGGGACACACACGCGAAAACTAGACCCAGCGGAGAGGGCGGGGAGGGGGCAGGCGTTTCTTGAAATCAGCCAAACAGCATCTGGTCTTTTAAAAGGGTAATCTCATCAAGGAACTCCTGTTGGAGCCCTAACTCTCAACCAAAATAAACCAACAGGAACATGTGTTTACTCAATGGGTAGTTTCTGTTTGAAATACCTGAGGGGAGAAGGGGTCCCCTAACAGGGCTTAAGTCCTAAAAGTAGACTGTTTCCCGACAGATGAGCAGCCCCAGTGTGGTCGCCCCCTTTCCTTAAAGGCGGCAGCCGCCTGGGTCCGAGGGTGGGGGTTTCAGGCCGAGTTTTTGCAGTGCGGCGGGCGCGCGCCCGGGCAGTCCCCAGGCTGAGACTTTTTTAAAGAGCATGTGAGCATGACAAGTGTCTGTCCGCAACGTGTTAGATTTTGAAACTGCCTTGCAATCCAGTCCGGAACTCACAGCCTTAGCCCGGGGTAACAGACATTTGCCTGGGGTGTCTGTGTCTCACTCTCCTCCCCCAAACGCCCCCACCCACCCACTGCCGTCGGGTTGGAGGAAGACCCCCGGGAAGGGCAGGGTGCGACGAGCCGCACCCGCGTGTCAATGGCAGCCGCGCATTCTGGAAGAAGTTGGTTCTTGTTCTGAATACTTTTCCTACGGTGCCCCGCCCCTTGAATCAGAAGCAGCTGTCTTCTCCTGCGGCTAGAGCCGGGACTGTGGAGTTTGGGGCAGCTGTCAAAAACGAGAGGGGAGCCTTTTCTTCCCCGGGGTGGAGGAGGGGGCAGCCTTTTTCCATCTGTTGCAATTTCCTAACCAAACGCACCCTCGCCAGCCGGAGGAAGAAAGGCCCAAAGGAGAAGCCCGGGCGCCCGGCTGGTGTCGCTGCCGCCGCGGAGCGAGGGATGCGGGCGGCGTGCGCGCAGCAGGGAGGAAGGATCGGGTTTCTGGGCCCAGCCGCCCTCACGAGGGACGGGTGACAGCGGCCGGAGAGGCGCGGAGTGAGGCAGCGCGGCCCGAGCGCTCGGTGCTGTCCTCCCCAACTGGAAGGTGCGGGGGAGGGGCGGAGGAGCGGCGGGGCGGGCGGGGGACGGGGCGGGCGGCTGGGGGCGGAGGCAGGACCTCCTGTACCTTCCCTCTTCGCCTCTCTCACTCTGACAGCGCCGAGGTACGACGAGGAGGAGCGGGGAACAAAGGAGAGGAGTGGGGAGGGGAGCGAGTTGGGCGAGGGAGAGTCCCCAAGCCGGCTGCCAGAAGATCCCGGCAGGAGGAAGCCCAAGTGTCACTTGAATTCCACCCAAGGAGCGGGCGCCTGGGATCCGAGCGCCTTGATTAGCAATAACGGCTGGAGCGCGTCCTAAAGTTACGGGAGAGTCGGTCCGGAAGGAGGACAATCGCGCGCCCCCCTCGCCCCCGCTCCTGGCCCCTCGAGACCCCAGCATCGCCTCGCGCTGGAAGGGGACCTCCAGAATGAAAAGCAAGAAAGGTAAGGCTTGACGGGCTGTGCCCGCCGTGGGCGCGGGTCCCGGGGAAACGTGCTCGCCGGGCCCCACCGGGCCCCTTCGGGCTTGGCGCAAGAGTGACTTAGTGGACTTTTCAGCCCGGGGCTCTCAGGCAGGAACCGCCGCGGTTCTCTTTGTTGAGGCTGCGTCTGAAATGGCAGTTGCTGTTTTCCTTCTAGACACAACACGAGGGGCTGTTGTGGGGAGACGGGCCTGTCCACGCTGCTGGCACGTTGTCAAGAAACACGCTCAGCGCCTTGTTTGTGCGCCTCCAAGTTTCATTGTCTCAGCGGACACCCCACGCTCCGCGGAGCCGCCGCGTGGCTTCTCGCTTGTTCTTGCGGGCGGAGGTGTGGGCCGGGTCGGGGGGACCCCCGCCCCGATTCTCCCGGCCCGGACCGCGGAGCGGCGGCGCCTTTGTCTGAAAGTTGTGGTCCGGGCCCCCACTCCCTCCCAGCTGGGCCCGGGCACTCTCTTCGCTGGGGATGGGGTGTTTTCACAATCAAGGAATGCGACTCTGGCCCCCAAACCGCCCGAGGGTGTCGGTAGACTTGGAAAGGTAGACTTTTAAAAACTCCTAGGTTCTAAAAGTTTTCCCACGATGAATTTGGGGCAAGATGAAGAGTTAGGACTGACGGCGAGCAGCTTAAAGCGGCGTGTAGTCAGAATGAGTCCAAGTGTGACAAGCAGGGTTGGTTGTAACTGCACAGAGTGAGTCTGTCATTGTTTCCACGAAGCGTTCTGGAAGCGTTACAACTAAAACTTGCCGTCAGTCTGGTTTAAAAACAAAATACACAGAAAAAAAAAAACCCACCGCCACGAAAGGTCAAAGAATGTTAACTCCCTTTTGAAGTTAACTTTTTGAGTCCCTGACTAGGAGGTACCCCGAACGTTCCGTGGTGAGCCAGAGTTGGCTTTTCTGTTGTGATTTATGTGGAGTGGTTCAAAACAGAAGTTAATCGCTCAGGGAAGCCAGCGCGGGGGCGGTGGGGGGGGGGGCTGCTGCGCATGCCCAGGAGCGTCCCGGAGTTTTTGTAACCACATTCTTTCAGACTCGTCCAGCGGATACAGTCAAAACTCAATATTGTTAGTGGGGCAGCTTTCAACCCCAGAGGGTTCCTTCGGCCACGTTTTCACCTTGGAGTTCTGTTCCTTTCATTCTGGGCCGGTGGCTTCAAAACA